CAAAGTTTGTTATACTATCGGTATCAATTTTCTACTTTCTACCTGATCAGAGGTTCTGGGATTTCTCAGTTTCTTGTGAAAATTCTCAAAAAACATAAATCTACATTATCTTTTTATATATTATTATTATACTCATTTGATGGGAAACAACTTCTGTGTAATAATTCTCATGGATTTTGGGAGGGAGGGAATGAGAGGGATATTGACAAGAAAATAATATACTTTTACTCTTTATGTACATCTTATTTTGCCACACAACTATCTACCTATCTACCTACCTGATTTTTATCTAAGTTTTAAGTAACCAAACATGGCAAATATATCTAATATTCTTTCCTCTTCCTATTTTCTCTGTAACACCTAGTTCCATAAGCGAGGGGCTGAGAAAGAGGGATTGTCGCAAAGATACTCAGCTGCCTTTTATGTCTAAGATGGGGCTGGAACAGTTTCTTGGTTTCCTGGTTACTAGCATCTTAAATATTATGCCTTAATGCTATGTGATTTTAAAACCACGCCATAAATGCACACCACTTTTTAAAAAGGAAGCATCTGCTTTGCTTTAATTCACTTTACCATGAAGCTTCATCTAGCACCTCTAATAATGTAAGGAAGCTTCTACATGTGCAAAAGCTTACTCTTTTCCAGTCAGCTAGCACCAGCACCAGAAGAAGCTTCTTATGTTTATTTGATATCTCTTTAGGACTTATTGTTATGTAAATTATTAACCATGGTGGTGCAATGGTTAGAATGCAGTACTGCAGGCTACTTCTACTGATTACTAGCTGCCAGCAGTTTGGCAGATCAAATCTCACCAGGCTCAAGGTTGACTCAGCCTTCTATCCTTCCGAAGTTGGTAAAATGAGGACCTAGATTGTTGAGGGCAATATGCTGATTGTGTAAACCGCTTAGAGAGGGATTTAAAGCACCGTGAAGCGATATATAAGTCTAAGTGCTATTACTATTAAACAAAAGTAAATAAATGACATGGTTAAAGTCTCCTAGATTTTACTTGAAAGAAGGCTTACCTTGTTTCTTTCTTTTTAAAGGGATTGTACAACACCTACAAAATGGACAACTGTTACGTGACATATATATAAAGAAGCATAACTTGTTACCAATTGATTGGACAAATAAACATCTGTATTTGGAGACCACTGGAAAGAGTCGGACTCTACAAAGTGGACTAGCATTGCTCTATTCTTTTCTGCCAGACTTTGATTGGAAGAAAATTAATTTTAGGAACCAATGGAGCACAATTTTTTGTTCTGGACACTGTGAATGCCAGAGAAGAAACCATTACTTGGAGGAAGAGCAACGTCGCCAGTATAGTCTCAGAGTGAAAAAAATAGATTTGGAAAAGACATATGCAGATATGGCCAGAATAGTTGGCATTCCCACCCGGCAGTTAAGAGCTTCTAATCCCATTGATTCTATGTTGTGCCACTTCTGCCATAATGCTAGCTTTCCCTGTACTAAGAATGGTTGCATAGACATCGAGCACTTTAAAGTAATCAAGAAACATCAACTTGAAGATGAAAAGGAGAGGCAAAAAAAGAAATACTATTACTTGTATGCACTACTAGCAACTCATCCAATCCTGAACCAAACAGTCAATCGGATGCTAAGGATTGCAGAAGGCAAGAAAGAAGAATTATTTGTGCTTTACTCTGCTCATGATGTTACGTTGTCACCTGTTCTTAGTGCCTTAGGCATCACTGGGGCCAAGTTTCCAAGGTTTGCTGCTAGACTAGTCTTTGAGTTATGGAAAGATGAAAAAAAATATAACGAAAACTTTATTCGTATCCTTTACAATGGGGTTGATGTTACATTCCAAACTTCCTTCTGCCGGGATCTTAACAAGCATTTTGGCATGATAATGTGTCCTTTAGAGAAATTTGTCCATTTTGTTAAGCAGGACATGTTTTCACCTTTTAATACCACTAGTTACTATGATGCATGTCGGAGAAGACCGTTCTAAACGGAAGAGGAATAAAGTATTTCATTTTGCATTGTTAAAAGTTTGTCTTTGAGGAAGTTTGATATTGTCAAAGTCTCGTATGCCTAAGTGCAAATGCATATAGCTTGAAATTATTTTAATTTTGCCAAAATTCATTCTAGATTAATTTAAAATGCCATATCCCACTATTAACCCAGCAGTATAAAAGCTATTTTCTTTATGATCAACATGATTTGTTGCATAATTGATGTAAAACAGATATTACTTGAGTAACTAAATGCATATATTCTGATTACTTAGTATTCTACTGCAAAGATTTAAACATGAAAGCAAATATTAATAACCCCAGTAGATGTCAAAGCAGAAAGTATTTCTTCATTTCACCAGCCCGTACTTATAATCTGTTATTTTTAAAGAGTTAAAAAAAAAGCAGCCATTAGAAAAAAGAAAAAGGTGTTTGATTCAAATGTTCTTTGCACATCAGGTTCTGGATACACTTGATCTTAAGCTATGTGTTTCACTTACACTATAGATTGAGTAAAGATTGTTCAAGATGGGGCAGTATTATTTCAAAGCTACTCTATTGAACATGTGGACAATCTCAATGCCTGTAATCAGTGACTTGTTGAGGAACACCAGCATTGTTAAAAATATCTTGTACATGACCAATGTGGATCAACTTACACAGAAGCTACATAAGACTCCATTTACAATATTGCAGCCGCCTTCTAGAATCCCAAACATATGGAAGCAATTTTCGTTAGAAATCATCATGCCATATACAAAACAACCCGCAGATTATATTGAAAGAAAAACACTGTTTTTGCACTTTTAGCACTTTATGTGTACTTTGAACACTAATTACAAGTTGTGCCAGATGCTAGAAAAGGATTCAAAAGAAAATATAGAGGGGATAGACATGGAGAAAAAAGTTTTTACATCTTTATTCCACTTCTTTAGAATCTATATGTTGAAATAATTTATGCTGTAAAAAACAACAATGTGTTTACCATTTGGCTGCATATGACCAAAAGACAACTTAACACAATGCTTAATTTTGTAGTCCCATTAGTACTTTTATAGACTAGGGAATACATTTTATAAAGTAAAACACCTTTTTTACATTATAGTGACATAACTGTTTTCTACTTTCTTTGTAAAAGAATGACAAAACTAGTGTTTCAAACTATCTTTTACTCTAGGTACTTAGATCCATGCAGAAAAATCTTATGAATAATCTAACTTGAGAAATTCATAATGCGAAAATGAACAATTCCATTTCAAAATGTTTTCATCATACAGTACAATGTTTTTTAAAACTATAGTAATGCTACATTTTGTATTTTAAGTAGCTTGTATATACCCAGAATCATAATTTAGTGTATGTTTTAAGATAAAATGGTGCTAGCAGTTAAAACTGTGATTTCTATTCAAGCTTTACCCGCTTTTTGGCATCATTTTGACGATCCGTTTAGATGTTTCTATAAATAAAATTTTGAAGAATTTTTAGTGGTTGTCGTTCTTTAATGCTTCTTTAAGTCGTTCTTTCTTTATGTAGTAGTGCTGGGTTTTTTTGTTTTTTAAGTAAAAATATTGATTCTTTTGCAGGAATATTACATGTTCATTCTATCCCTATAGGTGTGTAACCTACTCTATTTATACTTAATTTAATATGCATTTTAAGAAAAAGTGTAACTGCATAAAAAGTTCCAAATGTGATTATTACCAAGATTTGTGGCAGTTAGGTAACTAACAGCCTGCAGAAAATGACCCATCAAACTATACGTCTTTTATTACAACACTAAACATACTTAAAAATATAATTTGATCTAATGGTTAAAGGTTTTGGATTAGAAGTTGAAGACTGATTCTACCTACCTTAGGCATGAAGCCATCTGAGTGACTGGACTAGTTACGTTATCTCAGTCCTGGAAAGACAACAGTGTCAACTACTTCTTGAACTGTTGCCGTGAAAACTGCAAAGACTTGTTTAGGTAGTTGCTAGGAATCAAGAGTGACAGATAGAAAAATAAAACAAATAAAAACTGTTTGACATTTCATAGAATTTATAATTCACATTTCATAAAATGTATATCATTCATGTCATATAAAGCTTTTCAAGCAAATTGCAGAAAATTGAAAAATCCTCCTCTCCAAGCCCTATTTCACTCGTGGCAAACATACCTGAATATTTCCTGCTTTAAATTCTCATAATGCATAAAATGACACAAATTAAAAAGTTAGAAAGTTGAAGCTATTTATAATTCATCTAAAAGAATAACAGAGAAATTTCACTTGGGTTTCTCAAAGGTAAAAGGAAGGAATGTACATGTCTTTTAGAAATTATTATTGAGATGTCCAGGGATCTGTATTTCCTTTATGAATTTCTAACTTGAACCTATGTGCAGGACTTCCAGTGCACTTAAGATTCTTGGGAAGATACTTGGAAGTAAGTACATTGATTCAAATTCAGATAGGTACCATGAAACTAGAATAACTTTTAAAATATAAGTCAAATCAAATGTTGCATATAGATATTACACGAGCAAAAGCTACAAGCAGCACAGAATTATACATGCATAGGGTTGGAATTAATTCAAATAGTGACTGTGGGGTACCATTAGAGAGAAAACCAGCTACTGAAGCAATTCAAAGATTGTGAATAATTCTATGTGACCCAGTAATGCACTAAATACATCTGGAGAATGAAACATTGACATGATTGGTTATGGTAGAGTCAACCTGCCAAAGATATATAGCCTGAATTACAGGAAATTAGATACTTTCTGATTTTAATTCAGAGTGATATATAAATTGGAAACTTACAAAACAAACCAATATTCCACCACAAAAGTCTCATTGACAATCCTATTTCTGATTGAATAGTGGGAGTAGGATTTCTGCTGGAATACCTTCTTTATTTACTTTATGTGCTTATACTCAAGATCTGTTCAGGTTTGACAAAATAACAAAGCAAAGAGATGAACCTATATTGCAATTAAAAACAGAAGGATGATATAATTTCTAACAGTATAGAAATACTATTCGTTTTACTCATTTCCTATGTTAATTGGTTCACGTCTTGACCTATATATATTTTCCTAAAAAATACATTTGCATACGCGTTGTGATCCAAAGTATGTGTACTGTATGTGTTAAGAGCCAAGGTGGCGCAGTGGTTAAATGCAGCACTGCAGGCTACTGCTAGATCAGCAGTTCAGCGGTTCAAATCTCACC